AATTTTATTCGCACTTGTAATAGTTGCCAAAATCAAAAACTAGTACGAGCAAAAACTCGAGAACCAATGCTAATAACTGCCACACCTTTAGAACCATTTGAAAAAGTATCAATAGACACGGTAGGACCCTTACCCATCACTCCTAATGGAAACAGACACATTCTAACGATGCAGGATAATTTAACGAAATATTGCATAGCAGTTCCTATACCTGATATAAAAGCTGAAACAATAGCTCATGCATTAGTTACAGACCTCATATTGTATTACGGTACTCCTCGAGCAATCTTAACAGACAGAGGCACGAGTTTTCTCAATAAAATAATTCGACACTTAACTAAAACTTTCAAAATTCAACACGTTACTACTTCCGGATACCGACCACAAACGAATGGCGCGTTGGAAAGAAGTCACATTGTTTTAACTGAATACATTAGCCATTACATAAATAATTTTGATGATTGGGATCGTTTAGTACCTTTCGCGATGTTTTCTTACAACACATCAGTTCACGAAGCTACAAATTTCACACCATTTGAGTTAGTATTTGGCAAAATAGCGCGATGTCCAAGTTCATTTACAATCGACGACGAATTACTCACATATAACTCTTATTTGCATGATCTCACAACTCGTCTTTCTGAAATGCAAACAATAGCAGGGAAAAATCTAATTGAAGCGAAACAAAGATCAAAAATTAATTACGATGAAAAATCAGAACCATTTAATGGTAAAATAGGGGACATGGTACACGTCATGGTTGAACCACGAAAAGGTAAATTCGGTAAACGTTATCATGGACCATATAAGATAGTCGGAATTTTAGAAAAGAACAATGTTATCCTGGAAGACGTAAACGGAAAGCGATTCGCAAAACATGTTGACAAACTGAAATTATTCTAAATTAGGAGGAAAGAATAGCACACACACGACTGGCACTACTAATCCTTGCACTCGTCACTCACGCTCAAGAACCATATCGGATGACACGCGTCGACGCAAATCCAGGATTGTACTTCGAAAAGGCACATAATATTCGCTTTCGAAGAGCTGACTGGCGTGTAGCGTTCGTAATAGATACGGCTAAACTGGAGAACGAATTTCTGGAAGAATACACCAACTTAATGGGAATGGAGAGAATAAAGTTATTGTAAATAATTGAAAATTACGCACCTTATCTTCTGAAATATTAGAAGGTTTTTGAACGATTATGGTGGGTGAGTGGATAAGGTTTCTGACTATGGAATGGCTGGAAACTTTTTTGTCGCAGGTTCGCGCACCCATGAAGGTCCAATTTTTTTTTTTTTCATAAAATCATTTTTTTTTAAATTATTAATTACATAAGAATACACAATAATCATTTAGTAATGTATGAAAAATGGTTTTAAAATATTTTTTCATTAAGTATACATAAAAATAAGTTGTGCACTACTGATAACAGCACTACAATTAAGGTAAAATATGAATATGCTTTCCATATCCATCATAAACCTATAACCACGCGGCTTTTCAATTAACAAAATGTTGGGAGCTATCCGTAATTAGAACAATACATAATCAGAAAACCGGTAGTATACATCTTATTTACATGTATACTTAATGATAAAATATTTTAAAACCATTTTTCATACATTACTAAATGATTATTGTGTATTCTTATGTAATTAATAATAAAAAAAAAATGATTTTATGAAGAAAAAAAATTGGACCCTCATGGGGGCGCGAACCTGCGACAAAAAAGTTTCCAGCGGTTCCGTAGTCGGAGACCTTACCCGATCACCCACCATGATCGTTAAAAAAATGTCTAATATTTCAGAAGATAAGGTGCGTAATTTTCAATTATCTACAATAGCTTCACTCTTTCCATTCAGATCTTGCTCCATCCAACGCGAAAATATAAAAAATCACACAATCCACTAACTATATAAAGGAAATGTAAAAATTGAAGGTATTTCTCAAGTGATCGTACAAAATATGCCGAAAATGACGATTTTTGATTTTTGTAAGTACGATGCACCACACCTAAAAATCTGAAAAAAATTGGAGATAATAGTCATGCTAATATCTAACTACTGTGAAAGTAAAAATCTAGTCGCTCGAAAGCTTCTACCCGAAATCTCAATTTTTCGACTTTTTTTTGCGTTTTTGATTTTTCACGTCTGGGATTTGCAACCGAAAAATCTGAAAAAATTCACAATCATAAAGAAACATGTCTAGAATATATTAGAATTTTTGCAGATTTATTGCATATTGTTAAATAAGAGAAATATGGCAAAAACTACTTTTTCTTTCTTACCCTGTAACTACCCTTCCGGTTGAGGTACAGGGTTGAAACTTGGTGTATCATAGTTTTTTGGGATAAGCTATCGAATGGTGCATTGCGAAGTAAAATCGGCTCAAGGGCACTTTTGACCATCTTATCTTGCTATACCCTTTTCCGTTAAATTGGAATGCAGCTTAGTATTGCGACCACATTACTTGAACGAAAGGATAAAGGAAGCCCTGGAAAAACATGCAGAAGTCAAAACATTGCTCTCGGAAATCGGTCTTCCAATGACCGAGGGGGATGCTCCATCAAAAACAATATTTCGTCGCAGCGCACCATTTGGATTCGTCGAAACCCTTAATCGAACACTATTCGGAACACTTGACACGGATGATGCAAAATATTTCGATTTGCAAATAGATAAATTGTACACAGATCAAAAGAAAATTACTCAGCTAATTAAAAATCAAACTCACCTGGTAATGAGTGACTTACATAGTACGCATAATTTGATCGCAGAATTAATGAACAATGTTAAAGACAATAGAGTAAAGATTAATGAATTGGTAGAGATCCTTAATGAAGACAATTTACTAAATTACACCATAATACTAAGCCAGTACGCGAGTTCTGTAGATGGGTTATAATTCCCGCTTGAAAAAGACGTTAGTTGTTGAGGCCCACTGTAAGGCGGCGACACAGATATATGTTCCGGTTTATTCTTGGTATTTTTCTTTATGTGCCACGTAGTCGCAATCGTAATGTAATGCTTTTATTTCATATATTTACCTTTTAATTTACTCATTATTATGCTATATGTTATTCATTATCTTATCGTGTATTAAGGGGGGAAATACCTTTAGAACGTTGAAAAATCGCAATATTTTTTTTTTCTATAGGATGTTAGTATAACATCTTAAGAGTATGGTGCCAACGTTTTAAAGCGAAATTCGGAGCCCTTCTGATGCTATACTCCATAAACGGAACTCATAGGCGGTAGCCCACCGCGGGTATATATTCACGCGCTCTAAACGGAGGAGCCGCCGTTCATAATTCCCTCCTTTCAGTCATTGTAAACATGGTACTTTACATTGTTTGCGTTATACCGGAAAAATTATCATGCAGCGCGATTTCCTATAGCTCGAATTTATACAACTCGTGAAATATTAATTGTGTTATACAGGAGTCTATTGTACTTGTATCTGTTATATAGCGGATTCGTCGCTTTCATGCCGTTGCTAGGTTTGAAATTTTGTATTTTTAGAAAGTTTTATTGCAGGGTCATATGCGAGTCTGGTCAGTGTCAGGTCGCGCATCTGGCAACCACTTGTATATGTTAGGGTTTTCCCTCGTAGACTAAGGTATATAGTATTGTTCTAGCCAGTGACTCCAACTTTTACCGGAGTTTCTTCGCGCCTTTTTGTTAAAAATGGCTTGCTTCCTGTCCTTTTCTAGGACAGGGTATATAACCCTGGTAGAGTGGAGAAACAGAATCATTTTCTCCAGAAACTTAAAAGTAAACAGTCAGTGTAGTTCCGAAATTTTGCTGTGTGAAACACGGTTTTTGAAGTTCAAAATGAGTTCTTATCCGAAAGGAAATAGGGAAGTAACGTCTCGAAGATCGAATCCGCGTAAAAGACGTTTCCACGGGAATCAGTTTACAGAACAAGAAGGTGAAAGTACAGAACCGAGTACAAGTGCAGGTGTAAGTGCAAGTGCAAAAAAACTCTCCAGCAGCAGCAGTGATGATATTCATTGGAATCCCTTGCACGCATATAGGTTTATTGAATTTTACACTGTTTTTACTACACTGTCAACTCTTCTTATCTGCCGTGAGTGTAAACAAAGTGTAAAATTTGAGGAGAGTGGAAATCGGGGTCTTGGTTTCAAGCTTGTTGTTCTGTGCCGCTGTGGGCGTAAAGATATCAATTCAGGACCGCTTATTCATACTGGCTATGAAGTAAACCGTAGAATAGTATTCATCATGCGCCTTTTAGGCATTGGTAGGGAAGGACTAAATTTATTTTGTAACCTTATGGACATATGCGACGGCTTGAGTGAAAGTGCATATAATAAAATTATTGAACATATTTACTCAGCTACCCAATCAATGTTTGAGTTTTGTTCTAAGAAAGCCGTGGACAAAGAAAAGCAAGAAAATGAGAAACACGGGAGACCAATTTTAAATTTCAAAGTATCTGGTGACGGCACTTGGAAGAAACGCGGCTTCAAATCGTTATATGGAGTAACGACGCTCATAGGTTATTATTCTGGCAAAGTTATTGATTTAATTGTCAAAAGAAGTTACTGTCAAGGGTGTACGTTCTGGAAAAATAAAACGGATACTCAAGAATATGTCGAGTGGTACGAGGAACACCAGGAAGAGTGTAGAAAAAATCACGAAGGCTCCGCGGGTAAAATGGAAGTTGATGCCATAATAGAAATGTTTTCGAGATCAGACGAAAAGTTTGGAGTAAAATATGGCAATTATATAGGAGATGGAGATTCGAAAACTTTCAAGGCAATTATGGAGGTAAATCCGTATGGAGATAACTTCCAAGTTACTAAGAACGAATGCATTGGCCACGTCGAGAAAAGAATGGGCAGCAGGCTTCGAAATATTAAAAAAACAAAAAACCTCGGTGGAAAAGGCAAGCTGACTGATGCGCTTATCAGGAAGCTCACCGCATACTATGGCTTAGCCATACGAAGAAATATTCATAGCGTGGAAAATATGAAGAAAGCTATAATGGCCTCGTATTATCACTCATGCTCCACCAAAGAAAATCCAAGGCACGAATACTGCCCGGTAGGAAATGACAGCTGGTGCAAGTGGCAGAAAGCTCTAGCTACAGGAGCAAATTTGGACCTTATAGAACATCCTGCACCACTGCATCCAGACGTGCAGAAGCACATCTTACCAATTTACGCAGATTTATCTGAAGAGAATCTACTTGAGAGGTGCTTGGGCGGACACACTCAGAACAATAACGAGAGTTTCAACTCAACTGTTTGGCGCTTCGCTCCAAAGCACCTGCACTCAGGAATAAAAATTATTGAAATTGCAGCATATTTGGCAGCTGGCTTATTTAACGAAGGATATGCTTCAATTTTAAGAACTATGAGTGCTTTGAATACTGTGATTGGAAAACAAGCAAAAACATACGCCGACAAAATCGACGAACAAAGAATAATTCGACAGGAGCGACGCACCTCATTAACTACAAAAGAGGCTCGAAAAACAAGAAGAGAGCAACGTATGGAGAAAAATCAGCTCTATGAGGAAACAGAAGGAATATTGTATGGCGCAGGAATCGCAGACTAGCTGGTAAGTCATTGAAATTATTGAGTTATCACTTATGGAAACTTTGAACGTGTTTATCTCAAAACTACATTTTCGAAATCGGTGGAATCAATAACTCAAAAACTACTCACTCGATCTTGCTGAAATTTTGTACACATATCTATAACAATATTGTCTTATATATGAACCTAGAGATATGAAATAAATTGCAAATAAAAGTACCTTTTTATTGCAAGATCTAGCGAAAATTTCATGTAAAATTCAAAGTTTCTGTTTAAAAGCGTGTCATTTTTCCAATTTTCAATATTTTTCACTTTCTGTAGGTTCATCTACAACCTGTAAATGTTAATTATCGAAATATGTCTTGCTGGTTTGTTTCAGATCAATGTAGCCAAAGCTAGAGCTTACACCATTCGATAAGACCCACCACAACCTTCTCGAAAAACAGGGACATAACTCCGCCATTTTTTAATATTTTGAAAAACAAAAAATACGATATAATAAAGAAAGAATATAATAAATAATAACCAAAGTTTCAAAAATGTAAAACAATCCTTTCCTTTTCAAAAAAACGCATAAAGATAAGCTCGTTTTCATCCGTCTAAAGGTATTTCCCCCCTTAATAAATGCTAGTGTGTAGCAGTGAGTATTATTCTCCCCGCACTGCGCCAACAAGTTCCATTGAAAATTCATTGAATCATGACATTTCGGCAGCACAAAATTTTATGTCCATGTCACTCACAGCTCAGGATGGGAAAATGCACCCGTCATTACTAACTAATTGCTAATTAAGAGCTATCATAGATGAAATCCATAATTCAGCCACTCATTACGAGGTACCTATTCCGCGAAACCACCTAAGGGTGGAAGAAATAGTTAAAATAAGCCAGGTAACCTTGGAACATCGTTCAGGGAAGATACTAGTAACCGTACACATATATCATTGGTAAATCGCATAGGATATCAGCTATACGGCTATATGAACTTGGCACCCGACTTTTAAAAAATTAACTTTTTTTTTCATAAACTGGTAGTATATCGTGTGTAGTTGATTGTAGTAAAAATATTTTCGTTTGTAGTTGGATCAATTAATAAATAAACAAAATTGAAAAATTGACCCGCACCCGACATTGAAATATTTCAAATCGGTTTTTTCCATGTGATAGAGAATCGTTTGTAGTTGATTGTAGTGAAAAAAGTTTCGTTTGTAGTTGAATAGTTTAAAAGTTGTAGGCGATTATTTATATGCCGAAGACCCATGGTTTTTTCAGTTATAAGATTTGTACAAGTTTAATTGTGTGGGTATTCGTGTAATTGTATTCGTATAAATTTTGTAACCGAAAAAGGTATTTTGCGTTGTCATATATCATGAAAAGTATTCGCGCTGCGTAATGAATCTCTGTATTGTCGACCGTAGTGGAAATGTGACGAAATGAAACATATTTGGTCTTTTCTGGTCTCGAAACAACAGCGAGAAGTTTGCTCGAAGCAGAAGCGTACACTGACGAGGGGAACTACCCAAGTGTTACACTCACTTATTAATGAAACTTTGCCACCTTGTAGAGCTCGTCGCCCTGAACACGCCTATACCCCCTTTTGGGGGCAGACGGCTAATTGTTTAAAAGATATTAACAATTAAAGTTAGTTACTCCTTACATTGAGAAGCATGACAAACTAACACATATAAATGCTTAGCTCCGCTGTAAAACGCTCGACTCGCAATCTAACTGTCCACGGTTCAAGTCCATGGTTCCGAACTTTTTTTTCTTTTTTCTTTTTAATGATAATTTGTCTCTTTTTGAATAACTATTACAACTGTGCTATAATCATTGCATTTATTAATAGGTAATTAATTACATGTGCTGAAATTTTTATAGAATTTAAGTTATCTTTTCTATCCAATACGTACATTAACACCCTTACCGCATTCAAAATTTACTAGCGTTTATTTGTAATTATACACACACAATTAATTTCCATAAAATACGAATATAATTTCTGTCCTATTGTTTTGGATTCTTCACTAATGTCTTCTGCATCTTCTTCTAATGTTGTAAATATAAATTATAAATTTGCACAGTAGTATAAATGAATGTAACTAAATAAATATAATTAAATAAATTGAACTTGTAAAAACAAATAATAATAAATAAACGCGTGTAAATTCTGAATGCGGTAAGGGTGTTAATGTACGTATTGGATAGAAAAGATAACTTAAATTCTATAAAAATTTCAGCACATGTAATTAATTACCTATTAATAAATGCAATGATTATAGCACAGTTGTAATAGTTATTCAAAAAGAGACAAATTATCATTAAAAAGAAAAAAGAAAAAAAAAGTTCGGAACCATGGACTTACTTGAACCGTGGACAGTTACATTGTGAGTCAAGCGTTTTACCGCGAAGCTAAGCATTTATATGTGTTAGTTTGTCATGCTTCTCAATGTAAGCAGTAACTAACTTTAATTGTTAATATCTTTTAAACAATTGGCCGTCTGCCCCCAAAAGGGGGTATAGGCGTGTTCAGGGCGACAAGCTCTACAAGGTGGCAAAGTTTCATTAATAAGTGAGCGTAACACTTGGGTAGTTCCCCTCGTGAGTTGCATTGAACTTGTCGCAGTGAAGTTGGCTCCAAATTCACTAACACATTCACGCCGCGTCGGTGAGCCGATGGTCGAGGTGCACGCGGAGGGGGGACTGCCTATGTTAATAAATAGAATACTAGTGTATCGACATTTTGGTCGGTAAGTGACATAGCGATCTTCTTATGACTGTCGCGAAAAATGATAAAGATGCGATAAATCGATTTGTAACGTCACTTCCGTATTGTCTGCTATTTTTGAACGTTGAATAATATTGAAATGCTAGACTTAGATAGTATCAACCAATATAAATGATAATTATGAAAGTATAAATTACAACCACAAATAACATTATAAATTACAACTACAAATAATATAATACGAAGTTAAATAACAGAAATTTATTAATGAAATAACATTATAAATTACAACTACAAATAATATAATACGAAGTTAAATAATAGAAATTTATTAATTAATTGTTTTACAATTTCTTACATTTCTTTTATTGTAGACAGAGATATTGTTTCGCTTTTGGCCTTGAAAAAGGCCGTTTTTATATTCTGGCCTTGAAAAAGGCCGTTGTTTTTAATTTGAACAGTTATTAGCTCTGAAAAGAGCTGGTTTATGAAAATTGTGCTTCTTTCCAAAACATAGTAAAAACAAAAATACGCGAAAAATAATAAGGTATTCCTAGTAATTCGTCCAAGCACCGTTTCAATATCTACATAAAAATATAAATTGTTACTGCATATGATATATGTTTTATTACAGCCATAAATAACATAACACACAGTTCAGGAATATAAATTAATTAATTGATTTGTTCAATTGTTTTCATTTGACGTCAATAGTGGTGTCAACCATGGAAACAAATAACTGTTTCTTTTTCCTGTGCATTGCTTTTTTGCAAAACAGACGCGTTAGAATGTTGTCCGCGAAGAACGAACGGTTTATTCAGCGAGGTGCTATTATTGCACTCCACAAAGCTGGAAACAGCAATGTGGAGATTGCAAGAATAGCCAGGTGTTCCGTTCGTACCGTGCAGAGGTATATACTAAGATATTCCATCCATGATGCTGAAGGATTGGCGGACCGTCGTCAACTAAACAAACGTGAGCGACACACGACCGAGGAAGAAGATAAACTGATAGTCGGTAAGATTGAAGATAATCCCTTTCAGACTGTGGTGAACGTTACCGCAGATTTGAATATAAGAGTGTCTAAGCACACTATTTATCGTCGTCTGCGAGAGGCCGGTCTCCACTCCCGCCGGGCGGAACGTAAGGTGCAGTTGCTGCAAAGGCATCGCGAGGCCCGCGTTGGATTTGCATTGCAACATGTATCTACGTGGTTCGGCCCGCGCTAAAGGCACGCTCTGATTGGCCAGTGTTTTTTGTTAATAACTCGAAAACGAAACCTTAACCAACATTTTGGCAAAGGAAAAAGTTGTTTAGAATCACCTTGTTAATCATTCCTCTTCGGTTGTTGACGTAGTCGTTGGACACCCTGTATATGTGTCAAATATGCCGAGGCCCAAATCACGAAGCCTTATTTTGCAACAACGCGGCATGCGTATATTCAACCGCTCCAGGACATTCAACCGATGCATGTAAAATGAACAGATTAAAAGGAAATCACTGCCAATACTGCCAAGTAAAGGGTTATACAGTCAGCGAATGCCCATTTATAATCGAATACGAAACATGTTGGAAATGCAGAGGAAGCGGTCACGACCCAAATACCTGCACAAAATTCCCAAAAATCACAGAACTTTGCAAAATCTGTAATAATAGGTATCACACAACAAAAGATTGTCCAACACCTACGTATGTGCCAACTATGCAACGAATTGGGTCGCACAGCAAAAAACTGGCCAACACCAGCAAGCTCCAATTAATCATGTGTACAATCTGTAACGAAGAAGGCCACAACGCGGAATTTTGTCAATTCCACACCAAGAGAGGAGTTTATAAACCTCTTGACGGAAAAAGTGTATAAACGTAGAATAAATAATAGAGGAAAGACATATTATCGCTTGCGCAAAGTTTTACAACCTGGCAATTGGCAAGACTTAATAACAAACAAATTTTGAAAAGCCACGCACGTAAAATGTGGATTTCAATTTAAAAACCACTATATTTCTGCAGATGCTAAATCTGGTGTTATCAATGGTAAGTCAATTATTAATAGACTCTAGTGATTTTTATTTAAAAATTTATAAATAGGAAATGTAAAAAATATGTGAATTTAGTTGTTTCTACTTTCATTTACATTTACTTTGGTTGGCATTAGGGCTATAAGGTAATTTCGAATATTCAAATATTCGAATAACAGTAAAATTCGAATTTGAAATCCGGATAATACCGATAGTTCCGATATTCGCATATTTGAAGGCGTATTTCTTGCAACATTGTATTATTCGAAGCGTGCGACGCGCTTTTGTTTCTGTCGAGAAAAGGGTGGAAAGAAAACTACGTCTTCGAATACCCCAATACATCGAACTATCCGTACTACCTGTATCTCAAATCCGTATTCGATTTTATCCGAATTATTCAAATATTCGAATTGTCGAATTTTTACAACATTAGTTGACATACATATGTACAGGGTGTAAAAAAATTAAATGTCACGACCTATATGGGGTGATTCTACACCTCTGGATCGGTGGAGATCTGTCAAAGAAAGCGACCGCAAAATTGACCTGGACCCCTAATTTCAAGGTCAAATTTTTTTATTGGCTTATCGTATAGTGCTCATCGAGGGGATAAAAAGTCTGAAAGGAACTATGTGCCGGAAATCAACCCTTCTCCTAGAAAAAAGCCGTCAAAGTTTCCATATACGTTAATGCATTAAACGTTAAGTCGCCCGGTACCCCTCTCCAGTGATTTTGGCGCGTCAGTCTCGCGTATCGCTCGAATTTCATCGTATAGGACAATTCTTGAATTTCAGTCACAATGCCAGCATATAGGAAGGGTAAATTCTAAGAGAGCA